CCCCGCGAATGTCCGAGTATTTGCTAGACGCCCTCTTTTTATTATATAAGCCTGGCAAAGAAAGCCAGCGATATAGGCAGATAGATTGAAGAGATAGATAGATAATTGAGTCAAGCAAACAGTACAGTAGGCACGGTAAGTAAAATGTGTGAATCACTGTGATATATAGCGTGTGTTATAAAGGTTGTTAAGTTTAAAGTGACTGTGGAAATTCTGTGTATTACAAAGTTGTATCGAGAAAGAATAAACTAGTTTTAATTAAAAACGGACTTGTATCGCTGAAGTTCCTCGGAAATAATTGATACTGGAAATTAACAAACAAGCAGATACGCAACATTACCTTTAACAGTGGCCACACAAACTTACCTTCGCTATTGCACCATTTGTGAGTAGGGACATTCCTGCATAATGCTGTTGTTGCGCAAGTTGCTGCAATAGTGGTGTGTACAATAGGGTGGGTGCACCACTAACCACAGCAGGAGCAGGCAAAACAGGCTGAAGTGGCACTTGTTGCAAGAAGGCGTTCTTCAGAGCTAAATGGTTTCGGCCCGTAACGAGAAGTTGATCCTTAAGATGTTGCGGTGGGTGGAAGTATTTGCAAGGAGGTTTCTCTCTGCTACATCGTCCCTAAGAAAAAAATTATGCTAGTAATAAAATTTCCGTAAAATAATACATTTCTATAAGGATCTATAATCTAAAAGATGAACTATTTTACGGTGTTATTGCAACAGATACTCAATCAGAATCATATCACATATTCTAAATCTTTATTGTTTTATTTTTGGATTTAAGCACAAAGCTACACAATGGGCTATCTGTGCTCTGCCCACCACGGGTATCGAAACCCGGTTTCTAGCGTTGTAACTATGCAGACATACCGCTGTGCCACTGGGGTCTTCACTGAACGTGCTGTCTCTTTCAGCCATGAGGCATTACAATTGACGGTCAATCCCATTTTTCATTGGTAAAAAAGTAGCCCAAGAACTGGTGGTGTTGACTAACTAGTAAGCACTTCGGGCAGTAGTAATTTACCAGGGACAGTACTGTAATACTATGGAGTCAACGAAGTCTAATAACGTAAGAAGAATTAGTTTTGTGTTATGGTGTTAAACGACGCGATATTGAAAGAAAAACTGCAATTAAACGTGATTTTCATCAACAATTACAAATACCAATAAATAAATAATTAGATGTCGCAGAACATGTGGCCAATAATTTGTTCACTCTTCTGGCGTTCCAAACTTGAGATCGATGCTGTTGTCATGGCTACAGACGATAACAAATATGTTATATCAGAATGTACACTGGTACAAGACTGGCGACCAAGATTTATAATATTTATATTTAAAAAGAAAACAGTGTGTATAAACATCCAAAAGTCAAGTAAAACCTAAAAGTATCATAAGCTACTAGCTTATGTGAGACACACCCAGCTGGATTGGAAGATACAGTAACAACTGGAAAGTAAATCCTGAACTTTATGCATAATGCAATCCTGAAATAAAAGCTTACATTTCGTGTATTTCAATGTACTGGTTTCATTTTCCATCGGACAATGAAAATCTCTACAGAATATTTTATGCTCATATACTTTTGTGCAGTGATAAAATAATAAAAAATAGTGTTACAAGTAACTGCTAAGGTATGATTTTCAATTTCTGAAAGTCTAAAATTCAAAACAAACCAAACCAAAACCTCTCATCCATCTTCTTACAAAATAGTTCTAACAAAAAATCCTTGCGTGCAAATGGTCGATTTTAAATTAAATAGTTTTATTTTTGATTCAATCTATCAAAACTATGCTGTCGAGGAGGGTGGGGGTGTTGTATTCTCCCATCATTGCACTACTTTTCACATTTTCTAAACGTACTTTCGACCATTTCCATGTTGATATAATCTCATATTTTTGAACAATTTATATTTTGATAACGAGTAAATCACATCTTTAGTAATTGTAGTATAGATTTCATAACATTATTTTATCACATTATTTGAAAATTGGAAAACAATTTATATCCCCCACAATGATTTATGGCTGTAAATTCTTATTTACAGCTTTCAGCTACTTATGATATTGTTGCGTCAGCGAGTCACATGACACTGTGGCGCAACGTTTCTAGAAC